TGCTTACGTACTTGAATATATGGGTAGACATGCAGATTTACGTTCATATTTATATCCTCCAGAAGAAATTCGTCGATTGGAAAAAGTATCATCCTATCGGTCAAGAGGATACTACGACGTTCAGAATGAATTTTATAGAAGAAATGATTTGTGATGTTTTCTTTTTGAACACACACATATACGAGTTAAATTTATACCAAAGTTAGTTATTCTCTCCCTGAAAAAGATTTGAAAAATAATAAGCTATACCCGCTTCAATAATCATAACTTAAATTAATTCAAAATAAAAATATTTTTCGTAAAACAAGTGCAATCCATAATGATGTTCGTTTTATCAGTGATAGCGAAAATCTGAACTTTAAGCGGTCAACATCATGCAATTCTTGTTAACTTTTAGATCGGCTTGTTTTAGTGTGCTTCTATTGTGATTGTAACTAGATCGCCACCAGCTAATTATAAATTAGAATATAATTGAAAATATTGGGTGCTATTGATCGTGAACAGATGCTTGTAGATACCCGGGAATTTCGATAGATTATCGTTCAAAGTTTAACTGAATAAATAAGATTTCATTACTTGCTCAGAAATACTAGTTTGATTATTCCTTTTTGGACTTCACAGTCGACTCCGAATTTGTAATGCAAAGAGATCTGAGATTCTTGAAGTGATCGATTGTCATCGCTAGTGTCCAGAGAAAATGCAACATGTCAGAGATCAATATGGATTTTGTACTGGAGCATCGTCGCAGCGCGTGGTGATGTTATGGCACCCTCCGTATTTATATCCTTTTCAAGGAATTTATCGACTGAAAAAATCAGCATCTATCCAATACATTGAGGTACCCAAACTAATTATCAAAATGTTCTTTTTTCTATGACCTCTGCGGGCAAAATCAGCGCATGTCATTCATGTATGAGAAACAAAAGCGAGCTGTTTTGATTTTTCCACGGAATGGCGTATTTAATTAGTTTTTCTGCATTCTCAAAATGGAAACGATTCAAATTAAAGAACATTTCAAGCAGAAGCTGTTTAATATTACTTCATATTCAATCTTTTTCTTTCTTTAAAAGGCGGTAATATTCTATGTTTCTTCAAAGTCATTCTCAAAACGACGCCAGAAAGACGTTATTACATGTCGATCATCAATCTCTTATTGTTGAGTTTACTTTGTATTGATCTTTCTTACCAAGATCAATCAACAGCTCGCTTAAGCAATTTCGGTTATACGTTCACCCCATACAGCAGTGCAAGCGCTCCGTTTCTCACGCTCACTCAAAGCAGCATTCTTCGATGTCACATGCAATGCAATCAAAGAACCGCTTGTCGACTATTCGATTACGATTCAGACACAAACCAATGTCGACTCTGGTCAGATGATCTGACGACAGGTATCATCTCTCTGGCTATTCCATCGAAGCCACAATCCAGAGTCGGTGCCATTCGAATCGCACCTGATATATACACTCCTATTCACAATCAACCGTGTGACAAATGTGCTGATAGTCGATATGAAGAGTGTGATCCACTCTTCCTCACTTGTCAGTGTCCACCGATGACATTCTGGGATGGAAGTGTATGTTCACCTCAACGATACTTGAATCAATCGTGTGCAACCATTGATAGTTGCCGATCGGATCTTGCACTGGAATGTCGAGATGTTGGATGTAATTCTGTATTTCAATGCTTGAATCAAACAAATGTTGTGACAGTGGCTGGTTTTTGCAATGCAACAGTAGGTGGTGGAGCATATGGATTATCAGGTCCATGGGGACTGTATGTCACGTCAAACAATACTCTGTATGTGACTGATTATGATGCCGGCCGAGTGCAAGCGTATGCATCGTCGTCTCGTGCAGGAATCACGATTGCTACCATCAACAGTCATCTTGACGATCTATTTGTCGATAATGGAGGATATGTGTACACGGCTGCTATAACGATCAGTAGTATATTTGTTTCACCATTAAACAAAACTCTTCCAATACGCATATCATCCACGTGTAATTTGTCGTCAATCTATTCACCTTACGGTGTTGCTGTTGACAAATATGGAAATCTTTATATATCGGATCTTTCATGCCATGTCGTTATGAAATGGACACCCAATGCCACTGCAGGTGTAGTTGTTGCTGGACAACTCAATACACCAGGTAGCACTAGTAGTTTACTCTACAGCCCGAAGTTCATCGCTCTCGATGAAGTACATTCAGCACTCTATGTGGTTGACTACTACAACTATCGTGTACAGAAATTTCTGCTGGGAGTCAGCACAGTAGGTATTACAGTCGCCGGCGGTAACGGATATGGTATAGGCTTGAATCAGCTGAAGAATCCATCAGGAGTGTGTGTATCATCGAAAGATCAGTCGGTGTATGTGGGTGATCAAGACAATCATCGAGTGGTGAAGTGGGTAGTGAATGCTACGCAAGGTTCGATCGTTGCTGGCATGACAGGAGTAGCAGGCAGCACGTCATCACTTCTGAATACGCCTGGTGATTGCGTTCTCGATCCAACAGAGACATTTCTTTATGTGGCTGACTATGGTAATCATCGCGTGCAACGTTTCCCTTTATGATAAGGATGATGATGTGGGATGGGCAACAAGAAAAAAGACTTTCATTTTTTATTTTCTGCTTTTTCTGGACACGAAAAGAACTGCAGTCAAGATCTAAGTTTATATGATAATAAAAGCCAAGAAATAAGTGATTAAAGAATATTTCTGGAGTACTGAATTAAGTTCTCGTAGTAATTATTATTTACTTTTGTAGAACTGACGTGTACGAACATTTTGCAGTTATTTGTCCAAGGTGGGTAGCCTTCTTTGTCAGGATTATTGTAATGATCCGCTCCACGAGTCGGGGCGACCGTCCCAACATTGAAATGGGCCGAGACGTCGACATACATTGTCAGTATTGTTTCCTCCCCAATAAGACTTGTTCTATTCAGCTCTGTTTCGCATTACCCAAGCAACGCGTTCTATACCTTCTTTACCTTCACTCCGAGCTTCATGACTCTGGTATACGAACGATTGGTCATTTTCTAGAACAAAAGATAAAGCATATTCAATAAAATATAAAACGGTTGAAAGCAGCAGAACTTTTTATGCACAATATTCTACTGTCACACACTGCCACGGAAACGCTTATCAAATAAAATTCTCTGGTTGCTTATTTCTGCTTATGTGCATATACCGTCGGATCATACGATCATAATAGCAAGAAAGGAGGTTCGTAAGGATTTCGACGAAAGATTGTAATACTACTATGTTATCAATAAAGACTATTGCACAACAAACACACGAGCGTCTGGACCGCGTGTGAGATACCTAGCAATTTTAAAAACGTGTCAGTAATAAGATAATTAATCTACAAAACAAACGAAAGGAAATTATCCCAGTGCCAAAACTTTGAACTAGTGAAGCATTAACTACCGGAGTCGTTTGTATCTCTCAGCTTGCTAAAGAATTTTAAAACTTTCTGAGAAATCGTATAGAATAATTTTCGGAAATCATGGATCACTCCAATGCATTTGCTGAACAATCTTGTGATCATATTATTTAAAGTAATTATTTCATTTCTAATTTATATTTGTATTAGGATAATATAACAAATTGTTTGTATTAAAATGAGTAATGTGGCATGAAGAAACGAGATTTGCGTAGAATATTTTTCAGTACTTTCATGTTCTAACATGTAGTGTTAGTTGAACTATTCGAGTAAAAAGTTCTTTTAAGTTCAACAGATCGGTGTGCAACACGTCTGAATCAATTATGAAAATTATCCACTTCAAAATTCTATTCATTTTTCTAAAAGGCATTAATAATCAAAATTGTGTTTTATTCAAAAACGTCCACGGCATTATATTAGTTTTGAAGAAAAATTGACCAACCAGACTATATTTTCAATATGTTTCATGTCTTCAGTCATTTAACGAAGCAATTCAAGCACTATGCTATATATTATGAAGCATCTAGGAGCGCATAATATTATTCGTTCTCAGAGCATGACAGACACATCCGTATGCACTTTTCTATAGTATTGCTTCCGTTCTAACCTGTGATTCAAATCGACTAAATAGGAAGAACTCATCGTATGTAATTATGATTTTTCTTCTTCTTCTTCAAAAATTGTTCAGTGCATTCATTTTCAATTTAAAAAGACTAAAGAAATTGCAGAGAGATGCTCCACGCTATTCTCTTCATACTGAGCTTGTTCTATATAGGTCCTACTTATCAAGATAAATCAATCTCATTTTTAACTGATCTGGGTTACACATTTACACCCTACAACAATGTAAGCGCTCCTCTTCTTATCGTCATTCAGACCAACTTTCTGCGTTGTTACACGCAATGCAATCAAAGAACCGCTTGTCGACTATTCGATTACGATTCAGACACAAACCAATGTCGACTCTGGTCAGATGATCTGACGACAGGTATCATCTCTCTGGCTATTCCATTGAAGCCACGAACCAGAGTTGGTGTCATTCGAATCGCACCAGATATATACACTCCTATTCACAATCAACCGTGTGACAAATGTACTGATAGTCGATATGAAGAGTGTGATCCACTCTCCCTCACTTGTCAGTGTCCACCGATGACATTCTGGGATGGAAGTGTATGTTCACCTCAACGATACTTGAATCAATCGTGTGCAACCATTGACAGTTGCCGATCGGATCTTGCACTGGAATGTCGAGATGTTGGATGTAATTCTTTATTTCAATGCTTGAATCAAACAAGTAAGTGTTGTTACTTGAAACCGCCAGTGTAGTTCTATCTATCTCGTACTTTTGATGTAGAGGTTTGGACAGCTGCCGGTTTTTGCAATGCAACAGTAGGTGGTGGAGCATATGGCTTGTCAGGCCCATGGGGATTGCACGTTTCATCAGGCAACACACTGTATATGACTGATTATGATACTGGCCGGGTACAAGTTTATCCATCGTTGTCTCGTTCAGGCGTAACCATTGCGAAGCTAAGTGGAATAATTGAAGATGTATCCGCTGATAGTATGGAATATATTTACACGAGTGCTTTCACTCTCGCTAGTCTATTTATTTCACCAATGAACACTACTCTGCCAAGCTCCGCAATATATATATGTGGCTTGTCTTCGATTTATTCACCTTATGGCATTGCTGTTGATCGGTATCGAAATATTTATATTTCGCACTTCTCTTGTCATGTAGTGACGAAATGGACACCCAATGCCACTGCAGGTGTAGTAGTTGCAGGACAACTCAATACACCAGGTAGTACTAGTAGTTTGCTCAATGGCCCAAAGTTTATTGCCCTTGATGGAGTACATGCGGCACTCCATGTTTTTGACNAAATTTCTGCTGGGAGTCAGCACAGTAGGTATTACAGTCGCCGGCGGTAACGGATATGGTATAGGCTTGAATCAGCTGAAGAATCCATCAGGAGTGTGTGTATCATCGAAAGATCACTCGGTGTATGTGGGTGATCAAGACAATCATCGAGTGGTGAAGTGGTTAGTGAATGCTACGCAAGGTTCGATCGTTGCTGGCATGACAGGAGTAGCAGGCAGCACGTCATCACTTCTGAATACGCCTGGTGATTGCGTTCTTGATCCAACAGAGACATTTCTTTATGTGGCTGACTATGGTAATCATCGCGTGCAACGTTTTCGTCTATAATGTCGATCTTGAAAACAAAAACTAATGTGATATATGAACCTTATCGTCTATCTTTATCAGATGTGAATATTTATGATGACATGCGTGGAGACTAATAAATAAAAGTGTGTTTGTGGTGCATCAAGAGTAGAGAGTTACTAGTCATAAAAAACATATTTGATAGAATTTATTGGAAATGTTCCCCGGAGTTCGTGATCTTTACTACTGGATGGCATCCTCGGATCTGTAAGTTCTATACTAGAAGAATATTCTTGAGGATGTATCATCGAAGAAAATGAACTATGAAGAAATTTTCGGAGCAAGCGAGACCGGACAAGAGAATCCTCATTCCATTGAATCAAAGTAATGTTTCCGGAACCCGAACGATTCTAGGTCTTTTCCCGCATCTTTCTGCAGATTCCATGCGGGTTTGCAACGTATCCCGCAGGAAAAACACACAGAAGGTGGAAGTAGTATGCCTGCAGGAATTCCACGGAAATGGAACTTGTGACATCCAACAATTTCCGCCTCAGGGAAAATAAACCGGATCCGCCAGGAAGTTAAAGGAAATATGATAAGATCCTTCAGGAAACTCCGGGAAATATCGCCATAAATGAACGCACCCTATCCACTTTCCAAAATCAAATACATTGTGACGGATTGTACTGTCACTGTTGTGTTTTCTCGTCTTCGGTTTCTGCTTTCGTTCTTCTTCTTGTTGCGTTTTCGCGCCTTTTGTGTGGTTAGATTAGATTTGTTGTTCTCCTATAAAGAGACGTTCTTGTAACGATAATGATATCGTTCATCTCTTTCTGTTCTTTATTCTCTCACCTCTATATCATATTATCTCGGGGTCATCTCTCTCTCTGTCTCTCTTCTCTATATAAGCGTGTGACTTATTGCGAAGTAGATACATTCTGGTCATGTAGAGTAGTCAATAAACATCTATACCGTGAGAAGCGGTCAGCTACTCAACCAGTTTGTCATTACAGTTCTATTCTTAGCTTTCTGTTCTGTCGTATGCTGATCTCCTTGCTGTGAGAATTAAAAAGAACAAAATCATCGTTCTTTTCTTGTGAAGTGGCTCCTGGTCTGTTCTTGAGTTGCTTCACAGTTAGTGCCGCGAGCCGAGAACGCTCGAATTCCGTCTCTTGTCAAACCAATTATTCTCTTCCATCACAATCTCGTCGCTTGCGTCGACCAACTCATTCTACAGCACATCATTTCTCTTTATCATCGAAATCACTTTCTCTACCCAGACAGACAAAGGCTTGAAAAAAAAACGCGTATATACGTGTATATAATCTATAAAAACGCTGTTTTCACGTAGCAATAAGGCAAAAACGCCGTTTAAACGCTTTTTTCATCCATTTTATATCGCGCACTTATCGACGATTTTTTTTACCAATGCATTCTCTTCGTTAATTTGCGTCGTTTTCATCTACCAAATGCACATTCGTGAGTCAAATTTCGAACACGTTTAGTTTCGTTAAGAAGGAATCCGTTTCTCTCCGTCGACCATGAAGATTTCAGTCGTATTGGAACTCATGATTTAAGTTTAATTATGTTGTACTTGCAAAAGAATTGATGGAAATTTGCGGACTATGAGAATGATGGATCTTATATCACGTACATGAAAGATTGTGATTTTCTGAAGGCTTAGGTTTGAACGGTGTAGGATAAGGCCTTTGGTGTTTATGAATGCTGAAAGAGAAAATATAATCATCTATGATGTGGACCCAGTTTGAGGAATAAGATCGAGTAGTACGTGAGTGACATAAAGTGAAGAAGAGAATGCACTTTTTATTGTTATGAATAGTGCAGAAAATGTACAGAAAAAGATCAAGTTTCTTCTACTAAATTCGGAAATATGTAGTATTCAACAGATGTGAGGACACTTGGATCTTTGCGGTAAACAACTTTTTCTCTGATAGATTTGCAATCGATGGAAATAATATGTGGCGGATCCGAATGTTTTGCATAGGCAACGAAATCGTTGATGTATTCTGTTTGATTCTGAGAAAAACGGGTGTCCGGAGAGAATGTAGCAAGGACAAAAGGTTGCATGGACAAGATGTCGTATGTAGAAAATGTTGCGAGAGTCAGCTGGTATATTTTTTTTAGTCTACGATTTTGTGCTCTGTATTATAAAAACAGATAAAATGAGTATCATTCATCCTGACATATAAAATAAATTGAAAGCAAGACGTTCATTATCCCAATTTTGAAGCTTAATTAATATCTATGGAATAAAAACAATTCGCTTGAACGAGAAAGCTCATTCTAATAATTAGGGATAATCTAATTACTTGACCAAAAGTCAAATTGTATATGTTTGATTGGTTTATTGTTTTGGATATATAAAGAACGAATCGTTTGACAATTTCATTTAATTCATTATATCAACAAAAATGTCACGTATTGAGAAACTCATGTCCCAGAAAAGTCGGCCGATGGTAGCCCACCGTGGTTTCATTTATACGTTAGAACGAACATTAGAAGACAAGTGCACTTTTCGTTGTAAAAATCGGAACTGTAAAGGTAATTGTTTTTTGTAAATATATTACAAATATAATGTACCTTTGATTTATTATTCAGCTCGGTGTCATACGAACTTATCTATGGATTTCTTCATGTTGGATCCAACAGCACACTCGCATGCTCCAAATCCAGAACAAATTCCTGCTATTGAAGCTATGAACAAGATCAAAATGAAAGTAGTGAGTTCTGACGAGGCAACAAGCTCAATTATACAATCGTCGTTGCGTGCATTGCCTTTGACCGCAGTTAGCAGTCTACCATCACCTGCGTCATTAGTAAGAACTGTTCGAAGACAACGTCCTACGCCATGTTCAACTTCGAATAGTCTACTACTGGACTTGTTTAGAAAAACAGATCGTGGAGAAGATTTTGTTTTATATGAAGATAATCAAATGATAATTTGTGCTACAACGAGAAACTTATCGCTGTTGAAGCAATGCAAGCATTGGTTTGTCGACGGCACCTTTAAGGTTTGATAAAACATATCTCATCTTACCAAAACAATGCAATTATATCTTTCATGTAGGTCTGCCCAGAGGAATTCTATATTAATTATTCACAGTGCACGCGTTGTTGCAATCTGTTGTTATTCCACTTATCTACGGATTATTAATTGGCAAAAGCGCTGACGATTATAAAAAATTCTTCGAAAAAGTATTAGAACACGACGACTTCGAACCAGAATCAATCCTTAGTGATTTTGAATCCGGCACAATAAAAACTATCAAAGATATTTTCCCCAACAGTGCCCATCGAGGTAATAGACGGAAATAACTTGTTTGCCATAATTTCCAATCTGTATTTTAGGTTGCCTGTTCCATTTTGGGCAGGCGGTTTGGCGTCATGTACAAGATAATGGTTTAACAAGAAAATATGAAGACGACGATACTTTTCGATTAAATGTTAGAAAACTACTTGTCTTACCCTTCGTTTCAGCGTCGGAAGTAATTGAAGCGTTCGACTTACTTGCTGATGACTTCGACGATGAAGCTGAAAATCTGGTGGAATATTTCGAAGAAACGTGGATAGGTGAAAAGAAGATTCGAGGTAAGAATGATATATTTCTATAAACTTCATGTGAATGTTTTGTTGTAGGAAATGGAAGGAAGAAACCAAAATTCAATAATGAATTATGGAATGTGTATGAACATGTCATGAATAACCTTCCCAGGTCGAACAACGCCGTAGAAGCATGGCTAGGAATTGCTCGGAAGATATGAAAAATTATGCTTGGTGAATAATTAATAATCGATCTTCTATTTAGGTATTTGAGTATTTGACTTATGCAACACTATACTCGCGACAATATATTCACGAAAATGTTTTGTTTACGCAACCTTTTGTCCATGCGACATTTTGTCCTGCGACATTCTGTCCTAGCGCCGAAAAACGATCGATAACGATTACAATGTCTTTGGTGCTTGTTAGTTGTATAATAGCGATAATTATGCCAAGTTGAAGATTATTTGAATGATCAAAATACATAACAGCTGAGTTATCGACTTGTTTATTATTTGAACGATGAATTGTAAAGGCCACGTTTCGATAGAAGCGTGTTGAATAATGAGTGTAGTGATCTTTTGCGTATAGCTTTCCGAGATACTCAGTGACATGTGAAGATGGAAAGACTGTTGGGCGAGTTAGAGAAGTCACGTTGTGTAACGTTAAACACATTGGCAGAGCGCGTCTCTTAGATGAGAATATTTGATTGACAAGTAATGCAACTTTCGGATGGAAGTCAGGCTTTGTGAAAAGTGTTGTTGCATAAGAGAGAAGCTCGAACTTGTTCATTAATTGCTTTAAAACGAGAGTAGGACCATGCACAGATTTAACAAATGATCCTAACAAGGAGAAAGAATAGTTAGTAACATTAGTCAGAACCACTATGACAGATTTAAGATGCTTTTTGAAGAAAAAAATGGAAGTCAATTTTAAATGATACATAAACTAAAACAGAAACTTTCTACATACCAACTGTACTTTCGAAGTTAAAAGTGCTGTAATTATGAATAGGACCAAATTTGAGCAAGGACTGATGGACATTTGAGAGTGAATGCACAATCGACACACAATTAGATGCCTACATGATATAAGAGAAAATAGGCAAATATCGTAGAAAAAGAATAATCAGTGTACAAACTCCGTATAGCACAGGAAATTCAACAACAAAAGCATTTAACAAACTTTCGATTTGATTCAATCGAGTGGTAGTTAATAGCCGTGCCTCCGAAAAGACAGCAGCATAGACTAATAATCTAAAGTGTTCATAGTATTTTTTTCTTCACTTGTTTAAACGCCCTATCAAATAGAAAATTAAATCCAACGTATTCTTGAACGCTGATTATACACACTTGTAGCCAAAAAGTAATGTCCTTCCAAATTCATTAGCTTTCCATGTTGTGTAGTACTTCAACGCACGTGGTAATCTGTTAGTTATAGGGTAATGAATGGATTGTAGTAGTTTCTCCAAACAAGAAAATTGCTTTTTAATCGAATAATCTACTCTAACCGTATCCAGCCATAAATGCATTAGCTTTTTCTTTGAATGATAAAAAAAAGTCTTCTTTTCAGCGAGATTCCCTATTTCCATCAATCAAAGTAACATACACTACTTACGAATACTCCTGCGTATAAACCACGTAGAGAATCATAGCAAAAACAGTTCCCAATTTCAAAATAAGTTAATCGACGTAAAGCGCAAGGACCTGCGTGTCCACATACTCTATCTTTTGATGGATCCTTTATTACATAATTCTTTAAGCAAAACATCAACAAAAAAGCTAAGAAATTAATTCTATGAGGCTTTTTACCGCGTAAAGAACACTTTTTGATCATGGAAACGCGTTTTTCAAAAATCTGGTCTGCTTGGGTATGAGTCGAAAAGTTAACGAAGATAAAAATCAAGAAAAGCGCACATTTTCTGGAGTTAAAAACCCGTAGATTCGGTAAAAGTATATATATATATATATTGACTATGAATGAGTAAAAACACGTAGTTTTATAACTGGCGAGAACATGTTATTTCTAAATCCGTTAACCGTCAAGAAAAGGTTAACGGAGGTTAAAAACCTGAAAATGTGCGCTTTTCTTGATTTCATTTTCGTTAAAATTTAAACGCGTATTTCACCGTATTTTTAAAGATTTTGTCTGCCTGGGAGATCTTTTAGTTGATCTATTTAATGGTACAAAACAATACAGGCGAATTACTAAAGATCAAGATTCTGAAATATTTGTTTTACGTGTTGATAGTTGATAGTAGTACAGGAATATTATATTCATTACAAATGACACATATAGAAGAAGATCCTATCAGTATTATACAAATAGATTCAATAAAATTTTAAGCTAAACGGTGGGTTAATATTACTAAGACTACTGGTGTACAAACTAAATCAATGATAATCTTTTTTAATGCAACGGATCATCAACATTTCGTAGCAGTAGTCGGCGAGTCTTTTGATAATGCTCTTGTTGGTGTTGATGTACTACATCGAAAAGTAATTAGTCGAACTGAACAGTCTAGTTTACCAGCTTATTTATGTTCTGATAATACAAGAAATACATTTTACGGTATGCGAGAAGTTAAAGGTAGGCGCGTTTGCCGTTTAGTACGTTTTAATCCTTATAATGATACAATGCATGTATTATCTCATGATTTTAATAATTATTTATCATGGACTAGAGCTTGTTACGGAGAATTTTATTTTACAATGTTTGTTGAAAATCTAGATACACAAAAAATAATGGAAAAATCATAGCAAATAATCCAGCAGAATCATATTTAGATGCAATTGCATTTGTTGCACTTCGGTCATGATTTTCTTTTGTTATATCAAAATTAAAATATGTTTTCGTAAGAAGTAGAATAAAAATAAATACGAAATTCAATTCTCATTAAAAACTGATGTCGTTAGCGGTGGTTTACATCCATGATTCATCTCGTTTTTATCAAGCGATAGTTGTTTGTCGTTTTTTTTGCATCGTCATATAAAACACACATGATCGTTTCCATTCTTCTTCTTCTGTTCTTTCGTTTATTTTCACACGAGTGGTTATGACAGTGCATTTTATCGATAATACACTGTATATTCATACTACTAAAACATGTCTACAATTGCTGTTGCTGGTCTTGGCGATGTGGCTAAATATGTTGTTGAAGAATTGAATGCTTTACGATCGCCTTCAAAAATTGTATTATTAAGTCGAGAAATTCGTTCATGGTTTGATCAACAACCAAATACTATTTTTCGTATAACTGATTATTCAGTTGAATCATTAACAAAACATCTTGCCGACGTCGATGTTCTTATATCATTAATTCATTCAAATGATCGATTTTATAATGATGTTCATGAAGCAATGATCAAGGCTTGTCAAAACTCATCACGATGTAAACGATTTATTCCATCTGAATGTGGAGGTGATATTGAAAAATTTCCTCAACATCCTGAATTTTATGTTCCAACACATGGTGCTATTCGTAAATTATTAGAAGAACAAAATGAAACTGAATATACTTTATTTAATCAAGGATGGTTCATGGATTATTTTATTCCTGCAGATCGATCTTATATGAAACGTATTTTACCTATATGGCCATTAGATCTTGAAAACGAAACACTTCGAATTCCTGGCACAGGTAATGAACCAATTACATTTACGTCAGCACGTGATACTGGAAAAGCTTTAGCTTGTTTGGCAACAAAAACTATTAAATGGGATAAATATATTTATATTGCTGGTGAGACAACTACTTGGAATCAAGTTATAAAAATTATTGAAAAAATTTATCCTGAAAAAAAATTACGAATTACATATAAATCACTTGATGAATTAGAACAAGATCGTGCAACTCATTTACATGATACTAATCCGAAAGAATTATGGCTTGCATTTATGGATATATGGAATGCAACTGGTGCCAGTGCGGTACCTATGGATAAAGTTAAACAACAACGAACGAAATATTTTGATGGCATTCATTTTTCTAATATTGAAGAATTTATCAATAGAGCTCAAGAAGAGAATCATGTCATTTAAAAAACTTTTTAGTGTATTGCATTGATTCGTACTATATATTAAACATGTATGAATATCTCTTCTTCATCCTCATCTTTTTTAATATTTGTGTTAAAATAAAGCACAAAGGTTAACCTTAATAATGATATAAGAAAAACAAAATGTTCTTCTAGCATCCACATTTGAAGGACACAAAAAGTCAAAATACAATGGGATATAGATCGTACATAGCTACATTCATTCCTTCTGTTCCTCCTCCTCAGATACACATACATTTCTTCGTAGCATTATCTTCCTTTCTTTTTAAATAAACTCTGACTGTCAATGACGATCGATGCACTTACAGATAAATAGTTTGCACTTCTAGAAAATAATCCTATATCACTCAACAAATGTCATTCATTATCATGATATGATATACTCCTACGTCAGGATAACAAAAATAATATGTACTTTCTTTGTATTTCTTCTCGAGAAGAATATAGTTGTCCACGACAGATAAATTCTATACTTAGAAGCTTTTTAGATGTTTAACTTATATAACTTATTGTTTGTTTTCATTTTTACAACTGTATTCGTTTTGATACGGATGTTAAGAATGCGAATGGTTCCTCAATAATCATAAACATGACTCAAAATTGGGCACCCATTGGAGCAAATCATTTATTTGATATAATTAACTCTCCATTTTATGCTGTTCCGTCAGCTTTCTTTCGTGTTGTTCCTAGATTTATCGTACAATTCGGAATTAGTAGAGATCCAATACAAAATTCTATTTGGAATACAACTATTCTTGATGGTGATCATTATGTTGTACTTTTCTTATTCTAATATTTATTTTATTTTATTTTTTTTATTTGCTAATAACTGCGATCATATGATCCTAACAGTGCAAGATAAGGTGAAGTCACCAAATGAAAAGAAAAATAGTAAAAGAAAACACGTGGATACACCACAAAGAGATCAAT